GAACTAAAACCCAGGCAAGCTGAGCAAAAGCAGATCCAGGCAGCCCTTGGAGGCCACTCCCTGCAGACCAGTAGTGTAGCCTCACAACCAGCCACACAGCTGAGCTTTCAGAGCTGCTCTGACACCGCCCAAGTTTTCATTTTCATTCTGACAGGAGAGAGTGCATTAGGAGAAGTGGGCTTACCCCAGGATCTCACAGACAAAAATGAGAAACTGAGTTGCTTCCAACCTCAAATAGATTTCTGGCTTCAGAGGCAACCTGGACTGGTGAGGGCAGCTCAGGGCTCCACTGGAGAATGAGTTGCTTCTTCTGGGATGAGCCGTCCACAGTGGAGAGGAGGTCAGAGAATAAGATGCATGCAGAAAAACTGAGTAAGAGCCCTGGGTGCTGGGCCATCGGGGACAGGCTGGGGCCCTCCATTTGCACTGCTGTTGTCAAACAAGAGTAAAACAAGTTGTGCAGCCCAGAGACTCCCTGGAGATGCTGTCTGCTGCCTGGAACCGTTCTCTTCTGTCTTCGTGGGTGTTTACAGACTTGCTCTGAAATCCCCAGGAAACAAAGCAAAAATGGAATAGAACCTGATTCACTGTGTCTCAGACTTGTTTTTGGTTTTTTTGTTTGTTTTTCCAGATTTGTTTTGTTTTGAGGTACTAGAGTTTGAGCTTGGGCCTTCACAATGAGCTACATCCAAGCTCTTTTTGTATTTTTTACTTTGAAACTAAGTCACTAAATTGCCCAGACTGGCCTCATACTCTCAGTCCTCCTGCCTCAGCCTCCCAGAATGCTATTATTCTAATATTTCTCAAAGGAAACATGGCTTTTGCTAGTGCTGAGATATGAGATTTCTCCTGAGTCCTCATAAAAAGAATACTCGATCAGCTAAAGTCTCCAAGGTGAGCAACCAAAACCAAAGTAATAGCAGCTGAAGAAGTAGAATTCTCAAGTTGGTATAGGAAGTCCATATGGGAAGACTTCTTCTTGATGGGTGTCAGGAACTCAGTTCCTTATGTATTGTTTCTGTACCTCATGATCCAAGATAGTTGCTTGTTCACCAGCCAAAATGTGTCCAAGTACACCCCTCACCCTTTAAAGATGCATCAAGGAAGTTATGGATACCTCTTGGATACCTCTGATGACACCCCTCTGGCAAGACTCTAGCCATGAGGCCACATCTTGCCACAGGGAAGGCTGAAAAATAGTGTTTCTTCCAGAAGTAGGTAAAAATGGAGATTGTTTATTAAACAGAAGGGCGGTATATGTTTGCTCAACCATCATTACAAAATACCATAGATATGGTGGCTTCAGAACACAAATTTATCTTCTAGCATTCTAGAGGCTAAAAGTCCAAGGTGTTGTCCAGCCTAGTTTCCTCTGATGACATTCCTCTTGTTTTGTAGCTGGTTGTCTCCTTGCTGTGACCTAATCTTCGTGGCCTTTCTCTGTGCCCCTGGGACCCCTGGCTTCTCTGTGTGTCCTAATCTCCACTTCTTATAAGGACACAGCCAGACTGAGTAGGACCCACCCTAATGGCCTCACTTCAATTTACCCCTTTATGACACTATCTCCAAATATAGTCACAATCTGGAGGGCTGGGGATTAGGGTTTCAACATATGAATTTGAAGGAGACAGATCGATTCGGTTCATATAGGCAGAAATAGATACTAGAGAGCCTCTGCTGCTGCTGCCTTCTTCCTGCCACACCATAGACTGTTTCTCCTGAGATGCCCTCTCTGCCCTGCCACCCTTCCTTGGAGCCAGCAGACTGTACACTGAAACCTCTACAATCTATGAGCCAAAATAAATCTTTCTTCCTTAAAAAAAGAAATAGATATTGGAAAATAATTAGAAATGTATCTCCACATAATCTGCCAGCATCCCTATAAGTGGATCAGTAGTGAGTTCTTTAGTCATCAGTTGTTTCCTATTTTAATTGCAAGACCCCGTTGCGAGAGAGTCCCAGAATTTAGCAGATGGCTTTGCACCTAAAGGTGCTCAGTAAAGACTATGAGTGATGATGTGACTGGCCAAGAAAGCACAGCCTTGGCAGAAGCAGGATTCCTGATTCCCTGCCACCTGTTCCTCCCACCATACTGCAAGGTTTGACAACCAGCACACCACCCACCACGTGGAAATCTAGAAACATGATTTTCATCTGATTCTCCATACCAGAGACTACGAGGCCCTACAGCAGCTGTGCCTGGCTCTGGTTTGCATAATTCCAGGGCTTCTGCAGGGACCCAACAGTCAGCAAACCACTTTAAGCCCTCTCAAGGTCACTGGAATTATTTTTGTGTCTCAGCTGTAGGCAGCCCACTGTAGTTTGCTTTATTTTGCTCTGTAGATACTCTTCCAAAGCTGCAGGAGGTAAGGCTGGCAAAGTCAAAGCCAGCAGGCCACAACTCTGGGAAAAACTGGAAACCTCAGTAGCCTCTTCCCTGGTGTTGAACTGCTAAACACATTGGCGTCCCCAGCCTGGGCAAAGGCAAAGTGGGCCCTCTACTTGGAAGAGTTGAGTTGCTTTTACTTTTGCTTCTCTAACCAGCTTGCAAACTGTTGCCCCTTGAGCGGGAATAAGATTTGACTTGGCAAGATGACAGAGGGATTTTCCTGGAGCATGCTGACGGCCTCTTAAGTCCACCCCAGGATTCCAGGATCCTGTACCTCCCCACAGAGAAGTACCCCCACAAGAGATTGCTTGCATAGCATAGGACATGGCTCTTCTCTGAGTCCTTTTCTGCCCTTGAAGCAGCCGCCTCAAATTCAACTTTTGGAAGCCTCACAATACAGCTAATTGTTTGTACTGGACAGTGAAGTGTTTAGAGCTTATGCATCGAAACAGACAATTATTTTCTGCTATTTGCTAGTGGCACTGCCTGCCTGGTGACTTTGGCAGATGGAGAAAGGAACTAATCCGTAGATTATAAGCAGAGGGATATTGATGAAATGTCACCATCTGCTAGTGCCATTAAAATGATATGAGTCAAAGAGTTGCTTTGGGGGTTTTTTCCTCTCAAAAAAGGTTAGCTTAAGAGTTTACAGAAAAGTTGCTAAACTATGAATGGCAGAGGGGACAGAGCAGAGAGACAGCGGCTGCCCAGTAAAGGGACGGAGCCTGATGACTCATCAGATGAGCTTGTGGGGCTTCAGGGAAGTGGAGTCTGCTGGATAAAAGCACTGTTTGTGAGAGGGGTGCTTATTGGGAGTGCTGCAGCTCCTCGGCTCTCTTCTGCCTGGTCTTGGCTCATTTGTGGCAGTGGGGTGTGATTCACTGGAGTCAGATACAGTGTCCTGTCTGCATTGGAACAGTTAGGATGCGCCCGTCGCCTTAACCTGAATTGGCCCATGACACAGATTATTCTCATGTCCGCCGGCACCTTGGGAGGCAAGCAAGCCCAGGGGGAATGAACAATTTTCTCTGTTGCTTCTCCTCCAAGGAGGTAGAGATGCTTGGCACAGGGACCAGAGCCCGCACACACCTGTACCTCCGCTGGGCGGGAGCCCTGGAGCTGGAGGAAGGAACCGTGAGGGACAAGCACATGCATTGTACCAGCACGGGGCAGGGCCACGTGAGGCCCTGGGGACAAAATACTCTGTGCCACCCCGCAATTCTGCTGGTGCAGCTGATCCTCTTCATCGCCTCACATTTGCTGTTTATCAGCTCTTACCACCAAGGACACTCACACCCAACCGGGAGAACCCCTCATGACCCGTCTTTTCTAACATGGCTCTGGGCGCTTTCCTAACCGTACTGTGTTTAATCTTCACTCATCTTCTGGAGAGAGGCAAAGTGTGGGTGAGGTGTGAGCACTGCAGACCCTCTGTCGGCCTGTCAGGTTTGCAGATACAGCCCGGCTGTGAATCCAGGCCCCACAAAGCATTGGCCTCCAGGGGGGACCTGGACCATCTGGCCTCAGCCTCCCCTCCTGCCACCCACTTGAGGACACAGTTGCTGGGGGTCATTGTGAGTGATGCTGGAAGCAACAGCAGCAGGGGACAGGAGCTTCTTGAAGCCTGGGCTGGATATTTCCATGGTCTCAAAAGGAAGCCTTGGTAGAAAAGTTCCTGTTGCTATTTTGAGATCTGGTGCTCTGTCCTGCTGCTGTGCTTTCACTTGTAAATAAGCAGGGAGGGGAGTGATGGATGGTGTCCACAGAGCTGTGCTGCAGGCTCACAGGCCCCATCTGACAGGGTGACCGTCACTCTGCCAGGCTGGAGTGCCTTCCGTGTCTTCCAGCTCTGTGGAAGCCGCGGGCCGCTGTGGCTGTCAGGCAGGACCCTCGCTGCTGAGTCAGACCGGGAATTTGCACCCTGGCTCAGGGTCCCACACAGGGTCAGTGTTGTGCTCAGCATTAGCCATCTGTTTCTCTGAGGACTGAGGAATGTGTGTTTGCACAATAAGCTTTGGCTGCAAGTAAAATAGTGTAAAATTCAACACGCTGATAAAGCAGATTAAAAACACATACCCATGCAAAAAAAAATTATTTTTATTTCTGGTCCAGGGGGAGGGAGTAGAGCCTCTAGATTATGGAATTGTTCCTCAGTGATTTTTATTTGCTGCCTAAAATCGACGCTCTACAAAACAAGATAAGATTTCAGTTTCATCAGTGCTCTCCCTCCCAGGAATTCTGAACCCCCAGTGTAGTCCACGGGAGGAGGAGACAGACAGACTTGTCTCTGTTGCTCGGCAGATACGATTTCTCATGACAGTTTCATGAATAGCAGCTATAGCCCATGTTGAGTAATCATTTGATGGAAGTGTGCTGAAGTGTGTTCAAGGGCAGAGAAGGAAGTTCTTCAGGGCTCACAGCTGGGTAGTTTCCCACTTGGTAGCAGACCAGCATCTCTTATAACCCTAAAAAGCATAGTAGAAAGCAGCTATGTGTCCCAGGAAAGATCCTGGTGAGTCTGGAGCTCTCAAGTCCTGCCTTGTGGTCTTTCTGCTTAGCCTGTGTCACTGTCTTCACTGTTGTGTGTTATGTTTGTGCTCTCATTCTACAGCAGGTCACAGATACAGCTGAGGAGGACGACGACCAACCCCTCAGCCTGGCCTGGCCTTCCAACGCCCGCAAGCAGGCCACATTCCTGATCGTCTTACCCATAGTGTTTCCTCTCTGGATCACCCTACCTGATGTTCGCAAGCCTGTAAGTAAAGTATTTTTGAAACAGGTGACTTGTAAAGTATGACTACCTAGCACAGTCTGTTCCTGTTTTTGTGAGGGGAGGGGAGGTGACAGGAGACCTGTGTATTCTTATGTATGTGGACGCAGTCCTAGTGTTGGTTCAGGCTGTCAAGCTGCGTAACACCTGCCTAAAGTGGTATGAAACAGCCATGGGTCCTGCAGCCCGGAAACTGGAGGAGAACACACTAAGTTGGAGGGGTCTCTGCTCCAGTGTCACCTCAGCTGGGAAGACCTGAAAGGCTGGAGTGACTCATGCCTGGGACTACAGCCATCTGGATGGTTCTGGACCTGGTAAGAATCATTCCGAGCTGGGGTTGTCTACCTCTGCCCTGTGTGTGGTCTCTTCATGTGACTTCCTGCTTCCCCACAGCATGGTGGCCTCAGGACTGTCAGATGTCTTATGTAAGAGGTGAGCGTTCCAAGAGTGAGCCTTCCAATGGGAAAAGGAAGAGGCTGCATGGTCTTGATAGCCTAGTGTCAGGAATTTCATAGAGTCACTTCTGCTCTGTTCTACTGGCCAAAGCAGTCAAAAACCAAATGCTTCCATAGAATACATCGTGTCACACAGCATATGACTGTCTTGATAGGAAGAGTGTCAGAGTTTTCAGCCACATTTTAAAACCACCACAGTGATTATCTCTGGGAAAAGCAACTAGAGGGTCTGAAAAGGAGAATGATTCAGTTTTCTTTGAATCTTCCTTTAGTATATATATGGATTATTCATTTAATTCAAAATTTAATTTGGGCCGGGGATTTAGATCAGTGGTGCCGAGCCTGCCTCGCAAGCAAAAGGTCCCGAGTTTGATCCTCAGTAACAAAAAAAAAAAAAAAAAAATTTTT